CCTGGTTGATACCTGGTTGATGGGGTTCTGGGAGTTCTTCTACTCCCCAAGCCCGGCCCGAGGCCAGGCTTGACTTGTGAGAGTTTGGTCCACCAGCCTGAAGGATGCACTCGCCTCCATTACAATCAATTACAACCTAAGGCAATCAGGTTTGAAAAGATATAAATATATATATATGAAGTTATAACGCACGCAGCAAAGGTTTGTGCGTGCATAGATTATAAGCGTTTGTGTGTGCGCATGTTGCGTGGGCGGGAGTGGTGACCAGTCATGTTGTCAGGTTATATCTGAGTGGTGACCAGTCATGTTGTCAGGTTATATCTGAGTAGTGACCAGTCAAGGTGAAAGGTTACGTTATCTCCAGTCAGCTGTGATATCATCATGATGAGTTGTGTACCAGTCTATGTAACACCATCACCTCACTTGCTCATCAACACTCAATAAACCCACCAATCCCATCAGCGAATATGCTAATCCTGTCAACCAGAGACACTATAAAATATAAAATATCGGTGCGCCCAGAAACCAACACCACGACTCGAATAATAGTAATCAATCATCAAACCGAGTTCACTACACCATTATAAACCCGCATAATAAGTCACTCAAGCGCGCTCCCTTATATAAGCCGACCGCCAGTGTTAATATATAACTAAATTAGATATCATTAACTCTCCTTTTAAGTGTACTGGTGGTTAATAGCGACCCCCCCCCCTCGTTAGGCCAGAGGCGGGCAGGTTAGGTTAGGTGATTAGCTGCTTTAGAGCGTGTTAAGTCGGTAGATCTGTGCCGGTATTGGTAGGGATTAGAGAAACAATGGATTAGAGCAACAAGGGATTAGAGGAACGAGCCCAACCGCTTAAGGGTCACTGGGGATATTCCTTTCATTATTATTAATATTCCTACACGGAATGGTTGGGTCCTGCACCGAATGGTCGGGTCCTGCACCGAATGGTCGGGTCCTGCACCGAATGGTCGGGTCCGCCACCGAATGGTTGGGTCCTGCACCGAATGGTCGGGTCCTGCACCGAATGGTTGGGTCCTGCACTGAATGATTGCGTCCTGCACCGAATGGTCGGGTCCTGCACCGAATGGTCGGGTCCTGCACCGAATGGTGGGGTCCTGCACCGAATTGTCGGGTCCAGCACCGAGTGGTCGGGTCCTGCACCGAATGGTCGGGTCCTGCACCGAATGGTCGGGTCCTGCACCGAATGGTCGGGTCCTGCACCGAATGCTTGGGTCCTGCACCGAATGGTCGGGTCCTGCACCGAATGGTCGGGTCCTGCACCGAATGATCGGGTCCGCCACCGAATGATCGGCCAGACAAGCCCTTACAGGGGACATATATACAAATACTGCTATACAGAATGTTAAAAACTGATATATGAATCTTTGCTGTCGGCACCGGCATAGGTTGAGGACGGCTCGAGATTTCGTTAGGTTAGGTTAGGTTAGTTATTTTTGTAATATATAATATTTCTATATTTATAGAAACTACAGGTCGATGTCGGCTCAGTCCGACGATTTGTCCGATCCGGGAATGGCCTGGCCGGATAATAGCATGGTCGGAAAATGACTTGGTCGGATAATGGCCTGGCTGGATAATGGCCTGGCCGGGTAATCGCCTGGCCGGGTAATCGCCTGGCCGAATAATGGCCTTTTCAGAATGGGGCGGGAAGAAATTATTTAAGAAAGTTCTTATAGTTACCCCGTGAATTACATAAATACATTTTCTGTGTTGTCTTTCAAAGAAAATGAATGTAAGGGTATTCTTAACTAAAGTTGATTATTTCGCTTTTTTTTTTCTTCTTATTCTTGTTTTAATTCATAGTGTCAGGGGACAGGCAGGCAGAGTGTATTCATACACGTTAGGCTTATATCGAGCCTTCCCCCCCCCCGCAAGGTTGAATTACTAACCCCGCCCAGGATGCAACCCCATAACAAGCTGACTGAGTAACGCCCAAGTACCTACTCACTCCCAGGTGAACAGAGACATTAGGTGATAGAAAATGCGCCCAACCATTTCTGTCCCGCCCACGATTCGAACCCCGAGTCGAGAACGAAGCCGACTGTACTACCTGGACCCTAATTATTTAATTAAATAGGGTTTTTATTAATAATATTCCACCATAAGATGTTATCACAGCGATAACGAATAACATATAACAAAAGTAATTATCTATTATTATTTAATTATCTATTATTATTTATAATATATTATCTATTATTATTTATCTATTATTATTATTATTAATTATCTATTATTATTTATAAAATTATATTACATCGATAATAGTGATTACTTTGTGTTTGTATTAATAATGAACTTTACATGTACAAAATATTTTCTTGTAAGAAATTTTAGCAAATAGCATAAAAGAGGTTTCGTAGCATAGTGGACTCCGTTCTCGACTCGTAATCCGGGTATATCCTAGGTTCGATTCCTTGATGGGACGTAAAACTGTTTGGTACGTTTCTCTTCACGTATCAGCAAGCCTAAAGTATGCGGTCGGGTCGACGGTAAAACCCTGGTTGGGCTCTGGTTCTGGGCCCCCAGAGAACCTCTCAGAGAACTCCGTATAGAGTTCTGGGTGGCTGGTCGACTTTCAGTACCATCGTGGCTGAGTCGGTTAAGGCAGGAGGTGTCTGGGAATGACCGAAACGCGAGTTCAAGTCACTCTATAGCCTGTCATTCTTTGGGGCACACGTGAGGAACACAAATGCGAACATGATCCCCAGGACTATATGCAACTGAAAACTCACACCCCAGAAGTGACTCGAACCCATACTGCCAGGAACAACGCAACTGGTATGTACAAGACGCCTTAATCCACCTTAAAAAAATTAATCTTTTTGTCCGGTCGTGATGGTCGAGTGGATTAAGGCGTCCTGTACATACCAGTTGCATTGCTCCTGACAGTATGGGTTCGAATTACCTGGTTGGTTGATACCTGGTTGATGGGGTTCTGGAAAACAGAACTTAGAAATTACTTCTGGGGTGTGAGTTTTCAGTTGCATATAGTCCTGGGAACCATTCAGGCTTGTTCGCATATATATATATATATATATATATATATATATATATATATGTCGTACCTAGTAGCCAGAACTCACTTCTCAGCCTACTATTCAAGGCCCGATTTGCCTAATAAGCCAAGTTTTCCTGAATTAATATATTTATTATAATTTTTTTCTTATGAAATGATAAAGCAACCCTTTTCTCTATGTATGAGGTCAATTTTTTTTTATTGGAGTTAAAATTAACGTAGATATATGACCGAACCTAACCAACCCTACCTAACCTAACCTAACCTATATTTATAGGTAAAGTTAGGTTAGGAAGCCAAAAAAAGCTAGGTTAGGTTAGGTTAGGTAGGTTAGGTAGACGAAAAAACATTAATTCATGAAAACTTGGCTTATTAGGCAAATCGGGCCTTGAATAGTAGGCTGAGAAGTGCGTTCTGGCTATTAGGTACGACATATATATATATATATATATATATATATATATATATATATATATATATATATATATATATATATATATATATATATATAGAGGACATAAGTGAAAGATGGAAACATAAATAATTCGAAAAAATATGAGTAAATACTCGTAGCCTCAAAGGATGGTCGGTAAGTGGAATTCACTTCCAAAAAATCGTGGCAGCCACCTCCATCCCCAACTTCAAGACCCATTTTACCACACACATATATCCCATTATTGTGATTTTTCTCGTTTAAAACAAACTCAGAAGGTCAGGAGCGACAGAATATAATGCAGCATGACTTAACAAGGGCTGGCAGCTGAGGTATTAACTCTAACTTCTAACTAACTTCTAGGACTAGCGCATAGGTCTAACTTGCCAATGGTGACGGCTAAGTATAGGCACTGTTAGGTGAGCGGAGGTGAACGGGTCAGAGGGCCTCGTTAGTCACATAGGCCCCTCGTTAACACCAGCCAAGATTAATGCTCAGTCTCCCACCCCCATTATTAGTAGCCCGGCCTCCCACACACACGGTATTCCCTCACCCTTCCTCCCCCCCCACTCACCCTTCCTCACCCTTCCTGCCCCTCACACTACCTCCCCCTCACCCTCCCTACCCTCACTCTCCTCCCTTCACCTTCCTACCCTCACCTTCTCACTTTTCATTCCTAACTGCAAGTTCTGTACTATATTTATGTCTGACAGGTGAACTTAATATATATATATATATATATATATATATATATATATATATATATATATATATATATATATATATATATATATCCTTCATTTGTCTTTCATCAAAACATTAACCCTAAAATTTTAGTTTAAAAGTAATATATTTTTCTGGGCTGAAGGGTAATCAATCAATTAACTCGCCGTTGAAGGCTTCAGCGATCATGGCCAGGCCAGACCGTCGGCATGCTAAAAGGATACAACAACCAAAACACCTGCCAACACACAGGTGTTGGTTCCAAACACCTGCCAACACACACTGGTGTTGGTTCCAAACACCTGCCAACACACTGGTGTTGGTTCCAAACACCTGCCAACACACACTGGTGTTGGTTCCAAACACCTGCCAACACACACTGGTGGTGGTTCCAAACACCTGCCAACACACTGGTGTTGGTTCCAAACACCTGCCAACACACACAGGCGTTGGTTTCAAACATCTGTCAACACACACAGGTGTTAATTCCAAACACCTGCCAACACACGTTCTCGCAATAAAGCTAATAGGACAAGAACACAATTTAACCTCAAATACTCAAATCACTTAACACGAGTCAGATGTCCCCAGACAAGCGACGACATCTGATTTTCATTGACGGGCTCACCATAGCCGGTGCTGCTTGGAACTTTTTGTTCCAAGTAGCGAATCTTAAACAACAACAACATCTGATAAAATATTAACTTTGAAATATTTCAAAGTTCCTTATGGATTAGACGCCCCTCCCCTCTCCCCCCTCCTCAGTATCAACAAAAGCTTCTTTTAAGTCCACTTACCTTGCCTGTTCCACTGCTTTAGTTCGCTGTAAGGCACCTACCTGGAAATATAAATGATAATTATAACTAACGCATATAACCAGCATTATGAGTTTACAACTAGCCAATGACATAGCTTAATTAGCGCCTGGAATGCGTTCTCGACTTGTGGATACGACGCCATATTTTCGCGGGAAACACTCTCATTGGTCAACTTGAATATCCCCTGTTGACGTGTACCACCATTTTCAACATTTAAAATAGATATACATATGAGTATTTGTTATGAATATGAGTCTGAGTCTTGACACAGCCAACGGGGTAAGGAACCAGGAGGAGGTATACATAATACAAGGCATGTTATAACAGCTGAATTATATACAGTAAACATACATTATTATTATCATTAATATTATCACCTTCAGGTGGCAACATTACAAATACTCTAAGCGTGAGCGATCACAAACAGACAAACACACCAACAACGTCAGTTGCCACGCTAACAAAGCGTGTGTGTGTGTGTGTGTGTGTGTGTGTGTGTGTGTGTGTGTGTGTGTGTGTGTGTGTGTGTGTGTGTGTGTGTGTGAGGACCTAACATAAACAGAGTGACTAAGACTTGAACTACGTTATGAACAAATAAGCTGACCTGTTAGGGAATATCGGGCACGTTCTGGCCATTCTGGGGAATATCAGGGCACGTTCTGGCCATTCTGGGGAATATCGGGCACGTTCTGGCCATTCTGGGGAATATCAGGGCACGTTCTGGCCATTCTGGGGAATATCGGGCACGTTCTGGCCATTCTGGGGAATATCGGGCACGTTCTGGCCATTCTGGGGAATATCAGGGCACGTTCTGGCCATTCTGGGGAATATCGGGCACGTTCTGGCCATTCTGGGGAATATCGGGCACGTTCTGGCCATTCTGGGGAATATCGGGCACGTTCTGGCCATTCTGGGGAATATCGGGCACGTTCTGGCCATTCTGGGGAATATCGGGCACGTTCTGACCATCCTGGGGAATATCGGGGCACGTTCTGGCCATTCTGGGGAATATCAGGGCACGTTCTGACCATTCTGGGGAATATCGGGCACGTTCTGGCCATTCTGGGGAATATCAGGGCACGTTCTGACCATTCTGGGGAATATCGGGCACGTTCTGACCATTCTGGGGAATATCGGGCACGTTCTGGCCATTCTGGGGAATATCGGGCACGTTCTGGCCATTCTGGGGAATATCGGGCACGTTCTGACCATCCTGGGGAATATCGGGGCACGTTCTGACCATCCTGGGGAATATCGGGGCACGTTCTGACCATTCTAGGGAATATCGGACACTTTCTGGCCATTCTGGGGAATATCAGGGCACGTTCTGGCCATTCTAGGGAATATCAGGGCACGTTCTGACCATTCTAGGGAATATCGGACACTTTCTGACCACAGTGAACTAGTACACTATAGACACACTCATGCAAGAGACACACTCATGCAAGAGACACACTCATGCAAGAGACACACTCATGCAAATGAATGCAATATGTCACAATTATTACGAATGTTTGCAAGTTATTGTAACTGTTGCTATAACTGGCCGGATAATGCTTGTGACTGTGCGGTTTAACGGGCCGGATAACGCAAGCAGCAACCAACAGACACAAACACAAACCGGACGATTACGATACATCACTCTTGGCTTAATGTATCATAAAGCCCCGCACAGTCAACAGGGCACAGGAATTGTTGGAGGTTCAACGGTACTGTTGCTGTTGGCGGTGTGGTGGGGACGTTGGTTAGGGTGATTGGTTGCTGGGGGGATTGGGGGGAGTCCATGATTGTGGTTGAGGGGGGACGATGTTTGGTTATCTTGAGATGATTTCGGGGCTTTTTAGTGTCCCCGCGGCCCGGTCCTCGACCAGGCCTCTACCCCCAGGAAGCAGCCCGTGACAGCTGACTAACACCCAGGTACCTATTTTACTGCTAGGTAACAGGTGGTTTGGTGGTTCCAAACACCTGCCAACACACTGGTGTTGGTTCCAAACACCTGCCAACACACTGGTGTTGGTTCCAAACACCTGCCAACACACTGGTGTTGGTTCCAAACACCTGCCAACACACTGGTGTTGGTTCCAAACACCTGCCAACACACTGGTGTTGGTTCCAAACACCTGCCAACACATGTTCTCGCAATAAAACTAATAAAACAAGAACACAATTTAACCTGTGGTGGTTGTTGTTGTAAACGATTCTGTTTTCATCCCATCTACGACCAGCAGAACCAGCAGACAAACACACACAGACTTGTAATATCTCCCCCTTAAACGAGGGGGGGGAAACAGAAGCAGACTGTCAGACCGTGTATTGTATTGCTGTATTACTCAATACAGTAATACTATTACAGACTGTGTTGCAATATATTCCCAGCTTGCTGATGTATTCAATAACTCTGCAATACTTTTGATCTCATTTGCAATTTTTTTTATCGTTTAAGAAAAAATTGACGAGAATTTACATTTTTTGTTAAAGACTTTAGCATTTCTGATTTAATTTTCGATTGTGTCAAGTGCTCCTGCTACTGAAATTAAATCTGTCAACGATGCAATCACGTCAGGTGTAAACTCCCCGAGGATTACGAATTGTCCAGCCGGCAATTATTGCAAATCAACGAGAACAGTGTTGCCAGATGTAGTTAGCGGCTCCCAGGGGAGCGGGCAGTGTTGCCAGCTGTAGTTAGCGGCTACCAGGGGACAGTGTTGCCTGCTGTAGTTAGCGGCTCGCAGGGGAGCGGGCAGTGGTGCCAGCTGTAGTTAGCGGCTCGCGGGGGAGCGGGCAGTGGTGCCAGCTGTAGTTAGCGGCTCGCAGGGGACAGTGTTGCCAGCTGTAGTTAGCGGCTCGCAGGGGAGCGGGCAGTGTTGCCAGCTGTAGTTAGCGGCTCGCAGGGGCGCGGACAGTGTTGCCAGCTGTAGTTAGCGGCTCGCAGGGGAGCGGACAGTGGTGCCAGCTGTAGTTAGCGGCTCGCAGGGGAGCGGGCAGTGTTGCCAGCTGTAGTTAGCGGCTCTCAGGGGAGCGGACAGTGTTGCCAGCTGTAGTTAGCGGCTCTCAGGGGCGCGGACAGTGTTGCCAGCTGTAGTTAGCGGCTCACAGGGGAGCGGACAGTGTTGCCAGCTGTAGTTAGCGGCTCGCAGGGGAGCGGACAGTGTTGCCAGCTGTAGTTAGCGGCTCACACGGGCGCGGGCAGTGTACCTCCGGAATTAAATCCTGTATTCAATTGTCCAATTCCTCCACCCTGAATTCCACTTCTCTCTACTTGATTTTTTCAGCTACCGGCAGCAGGGAATTTAACTCCTATACCGGTTGCCTGCCCGCACCACCGCCCTCCTGGCACCAGTGCCAATCTCTACGAGAGGCACTCCATACGTTCAGGGCATGTTTGCCAATCTCCAGTACGGCACGTCCAATGTTTGAAGAAGAAAATAAAACTATATGTAGGCTTCATTTTTTTTAAATCTGTTTCTATCCTTTACCACATTCCTATCCCCCGGACCGTTAATATTCCTGGCCTGTTCCTGTTCCTGACATGTTCCTATCCCCTGAACGTTCATTTTGAAGAGATAGTGAACATGATGCGGACCTGACGGACGTCTCTAGGCACGAACAACACTAAATAATGTATTTTGTGGCTTGGGTTTGTGGTTGATGGGGGGAGGGGGGTGACGAGGGGGTGATCACGCCAGACCTGTCCCCTGAAGTCTATATCAAGAGGATAACATCAGCGGCACATGCCAAGTTGGCCAACATAAGAACGGCCTTTAGAAACTTGTGTAAGGAATCATTCAGAACATTGTATACCACATATGTCAGACCAATCCTGGAGTATGCGGCTCCAGCATGGAGTCCATATCTCGCCACAAGCATAAGACTAAATTGGAGAAGATTCAGGGGTTTGCCACCAGACTAGTACCCGAACTGAGGAGTATGAGCTACGAGGAGAGACTACAGGAATTAAATCTCACGTCGCTGGATGAGAGAAGAGTTAGGGGGGACAAGATCACCACATACAAGATTCTCAAGGGAATTGATAGGGTAGATAAAGACAGTCTATTTAACACAAGGGGCACACGCACTAGGGGACACAGGTGGAAACTGAGTGCCCATATGAGCCACAGAGATATTAAAAAGAACTCTTTTAGTGTCAGAGTGGTTGACAAATGGAATGCATTAGGAAGTGATGTGGTGGAGGCTGACTCCATACACAGTTTCAAGTGTAGATATGATAGAGCCCAATAGGCTCAGGAGCCTGTACACCTGTTGATTGACAGTTGAGAGGCGGGACCAAAGAGCCAGAGCTCAACCCCCCACAAGAACAACTAGGTAAGTACAACCCAACCTACCAAGTGGTAGGCCAACCACTTGGGGTGACGGTACAGCGATGGTCTCGCTAGAGAGCAGAGAAAGATACCAGAGAGCCAGGAATGAATACGTCAGGGTGAGAAGAGAGGCAGAGAGGCAATATGAAAATGACATAGCGAGCAAGGCAAAGACTCAACCCAAACTGCTGCATAGCCACATCAGGAGGAAAACAACAGTAAAGGAACAGGTAATGAAACTGAGGATAGGGGCAGAAAGATTCACTACAAACGACATGGAAGTGTGCGAGGAACTCAATATGAAATTCCAGGAGGTCTTCACCTTAGAGCAAGGAGAAGTCCCAGAGATAAGAGAAGGAACATCAACCCAGACACCACTAGAGGAGTTTGTGATTACCAGTGGGGAGGTGAGGAAGCATCTGCTAGATTTGGACGTGACAAAGGCTATAGGCCCAGATGGAATCTCACCGTGGATACTAAAGGAAGGAGCAGAAGCACTGTGCCTACCACTCTCCATGGTGTACAACAAATCACTGGTAACAGGTGAACTGCCAAAAATTTGGAAGACGGCCAATGTATTCCCAATATACAAGAAGGGTAATAGGCAGGAGGCCCTGAACTACAGGCCAGTGTCCCTAACTTGCATTCCATGCAAGTTGACGGAGACGATTGTGCGACAAAAGCTTGTGGAACATCTGGAGCGAAAGAACTTTGCAACACAACATCAGCATGGGTTCAGAGATGGCAAATCATGCCTCACAGGTTTAATTGAGTTCTATGACCAAGCAACAAAAAATTAGGCAAGAGAGAGAGAGAGAGAGCTGGGCAGACTGCATATTTCTGGACTGCCAGAAAGCTTTTGACACAGTACCATATAAGAGACTAGTGCACAAACTGGAGATGCAGACAGGAGTGAAAGGGAAGGTACTCCACTGGATAGGGGAGTACCTGAGCAACAGGTCACAGAGAGTCACTGTGAAGTGTGAGGTCTCGGAGTGGTGAGACGTCACAAGTGGAGTCCCACAGGGACCAGTCCTTGGACCTATACTGTTTCTGATATTCGTAAATGATCTCTCAGAAGGAATTGACTTATTCCTCTCAATGTTTACTGATGATGCAAAAATTATGAGGAGGATCAAGACAGAGGAAGATAGTATGAGGCTACAAAATGACCTAGACAGACTGAAGGAATGTCCGACAAATGGCTACTAAAGTTCAACCCAAGTAACTATAAGGTTTTGAAACTAAGAGGAGGAAATAGGAGGCCAGACACAGGATACCGAATGGGAGATGAAGTCCTTCACGAAACGGACAGAGAGAAAAATCTAGGAGATGATATCACGCCAAACCTGTCCCCTGAAGCCCACATCAAAAGCATAACATCAGCGGCATATGCGAGGCTGGCTAACATCAGAACAGCGTTCAGGAACCTATGTAAGGAATCATTCAGAATCTTGTACACCACATATGTAAGACCAATCCTGGAGTATGCGGCCCCAGCATGGAGCCCGTATCTAGTAAAGCACAAGACGAAGCTGGAAAAAGTTCAGAGGTATGCCACTAGACTAGTCCCAAACCTAGGCTAAGAGGCATGAGTTATGAGGAAAGGCTGCGTGAACTGCACCTCACGTCGCTGGAAGACGGAAGACCACGGGGAGACATGATCACCACATGCAAAATTCTCATTGGAATTGACAGGGGTAGACAAGAATGGATTATTTAACACGGGTGGCACACGCACAAGGGGACACAGGTGGAAGCTGAGTACCCACATGAGCCACAGAGACATTAGAAAGAACTTTTTCAGTGTCAGAGTAGTTAATAAGTTAATATTGACTATACGAAAGTGCGAGAACGGGTTGGAGGAGGGATAGTGGGTTGATGATGGGTGGGGTGGGGGAGGATAGGTTGTTAATGGCTGGAGTAGGGAAGGATAAGTTGATGGATGGAGTGCAGAAGAGAAGGTTGAGGATAGATGAAGAAGGA